GTTTTCCTTTTATGTACTTAATTTGAAATGTATATCGTTGCAGAGCCATTCGCAATCGATTTAATTTAGCATTATTTTGATAATTCCGTTATAACTAACATAAAGGATGATGATCCGTGGTAATAATAAATTCTTGTCCGGAAATGTACGAATCCCATTTCTTCACTGCTTGAACAATTGCAAAACATTCTCTCTCCGTAGTTGACCAATTCTGTTGTTGCTTGTTTAAATCTTTTGATATATAGGCCACTGGCTTCTCTCCATCTTGTGTTAGTTGCAACAGAACAGCCCCGATGCCAATATTTGACGCATCCGCTTGGATTGTGAATGTAAATGAAGTGTCTGGTAAATGAAGAATGGATACTGTTGTTAATCTCTTCTTTATCTCGGCGAATGACTCTTGTTCCTATTTTTCCCAAACACATTTGACTGCTTTATTTGAAAATGTATGAAGCAGGTGCAGCAATATATTTATATTATTTATAGCAAGATATTTAACCGAAAATTAGCATATTCGAGGACTAACAACATTTTTTCAAGATGGATGACGTGTTCTTTAAAAGTTTTAGGATATATTATGATATCATCGATGTAAGCTAAACAGCAGTCCCATTGTAATTGACCCAGCGTATTGTTTACAATTCGTTGAAAGGTCGCAGGTCCATTCATTACCCCTTGACGCAGAACGTTAAATTTATAGAGACCGCGCCGAGTAACGAATGCTGTTTTTGCTATATCTTTCTCATCAATTGGTATTTGGAAGTATCCAGCCTGCAGATCGAGTTTAGAAAAATACACGGATCCATTCAGCTGATCAAACATTTCTCTCATTCTCGGTAGAGGATATTTGTCTTTTATCGTAATCTCATTCAACTTGCGGTAGTCAATGCAAAACCGTGGTGAGCCATCTTTCTTTTTTGTCAATACAACGGGAGAAGCCCACGTTGTGAATGTCGGATTTTATTTGCGTCTAATAATTTCTGCGTTTCTTCATCTTCAAATTTTTGATTCTGCGGTGATTTTCGGTACGGTCTCTGGTAAATTGGCGGATGTGGAATTGTTTCGATAATATGTTTCACTGATGTTTTGATCGTAGATGGTGTCGTTGTATCAAAAACTTTCGCATGTCTACGCAGCAATGCCAAAACTTCTTGTTTTTCTTCATTATTCGTGATGTGTTCGACTAATTTATCAATCTCAACAGATACGGTGTCGGGAATATTTTTCGGTAGATGATTGCAATCTGAGTTTCGCACAAAATATTTACCTTTTTTCAAATGATCAAATAAATACGATGAGGTGGAAAATTTTTCCAAACAGATTGCACATTGATGTATTTTGTTCGTATGTACATATTGCCCTGTTGAAATGAGAGGTAGACATTGAAATACCGGTGACGGGAAAGAAATAGCACCGATCAATGCGTCTGAATGTAGATGACGTTTGAATTGTGACAGATTGATAACAGAAATAGACGCAACGTAGTTTTCGACTTTCAGCAACGCATTCGCAAATAATACTTTACGATGAGAGCCGAAGGACGCATCAGGATTGAAGATAACAGTATCTGCGAACCGAATGGGTACTTTAACACGGATCAGAACTGCTTCACTCGATGGAAGAGTTACCGAATGCAGCACTTGCACTGGGTACTGTTTCTCATCCGTTTGTACCAAGAACGGAACTGATGCCCATTGGTGATGATGATTCCCATACCGAACTTCAATGCATTTCTTTGAACCTCGAACATCAATTTTATTCCTCGTTATCCAATCCGTTCCCTACAAAAGTCCCGTACATAAATGTTGCGACACCTCAGCAAGAATGACTGTTGTAACCCGTTTTATTTTGATGTGTAACTGAACCACACGTATTGTTCTCAATTCACCGTTGTTCGCGGTATAGTGGGTGTTGCTTCGCCGATGAAAATATGGACGATGTGCTAGTTTGCGCAATGTTTCTGTGTGAATAATCGGAACTACCGACCCTGTGTCCACCATGACATCTAATACTTTCCCATTCACTGGTGTTTTGATCATCACTGGTTTCGATGGATTTTGATCAGTAAACTTGGGGTCAGCACCATCGTCCGCTGGCCCCATTATTCGTTTAAACATTGTGGACATTCGCATTGAAAATGACCGAACTGTCCACAGAAATGACAATTTCCGTATCGATTACCAAATTGCCTTCTAGGTAGTGGTGGCGCCAGGATTTTTTGGGTGCCTGGGCTCAGCCCATAATTTTTCAAAAATTCGTTCAGAATTTTTACGTGACTATTGCTAGTGAGTACTTTGTTTTCAAATCCTGGGGTGGTTGGGCTCAGCCCACTCTAGCCCTGCCCTGGCGCCGCCACTACTTCTAGGCATGCTTTCATTTTGCGGAAGCAAAGCTTATTGACGAAATAAATTAGTATTCGACTGTGATACCTGATTATTCTTTGCATGTGAATAGGATGATTGAGTTCGTTGTTGATTTGTAATAATTCTTGGTGCTTGATGATTTGATGAACTTGTTGCAATCTCAGCAAAATGGATGATCCAATTGATCAACAACCTGATGATGGAACTGGACGATCGCACGGGTTTATTTTCCATTCAACCGACAACGTCTTACCTGCAATCTTGACGTACTGGGTTTTGATGTCCAGACGTTCTTCTTTTGTGAGGGGTCTGCTTGGATAAAGAATCACGGTTCTTCTCCTTTCACCGCCCAGACGGCACCCACTCGCGACGAATAACTCGAAACACTAGAGAAACTTCCCTTTAGCCAAAAACTTCGATCACGTAGCTGTTGCTAGGGTAGATTACTTCTCTTGATTAAAGTTCTCTTTGAATAAAATCGATGGCACTCTGGTCGACGATAAATCCGAACACTGGATACACTTGATAAACCGTTTAAAACCAAATCTTTTATTGTTGAAAATTGCTATTGAAAACGCTGCTGCCTGGTCGTCGCTAATGATTGAAAACAGGTCACGGCACCAGTGTTAGAAGGCGGCCGAGATTCACCAACTAACTTGACCTTTTGATTTTGATGGCACTTGTTCCCTTGATCACCTTTCTCCCAAAAATCTCCTCACTTGGATCCAAAGTATATTTCAAATAAAATGATAAAATTAATTTAACATAAGAAAATAAAAGTAGCAATGATGCCCGAACGGATGAATGAATCATTGTACACAAAAAATATGTTTGCATAGAGCTCTATGCAACAGCATCTAAACATACTTGAATGAAATTTTTGTCATTATTCCTGAAAGACTTATAAAATATCGAAAACCAGACGCTAGACCAAAAATTTTGACCAAAGTCCAAAGTTAAAAAATTTACAACTTCACGCATATTCATAGAACTGCCGAAAATTCTTGAAGATACATAGTACTCAACGCACTCTACAAACTGGCATAATTTGAGGCCAGGTTTGTAGGTGCTTACCCCTCCCGCCCCTTACGTTGACGACGAACTCAAATCTCTGACTCTCATCTACGGTGAACTTTACGAGGAGGTGGATGAAAAGTGGGGCACACTAGGCATCCAGGCGAACATTTAGCAAAAATCGAAAGTGCGGTTTTTGAAAATTAAAATAGTGTCAAATATACGTTAATATATGGGCTATCTAATGGCGTAAAAATTTTTATTCTATGGCTTTTCCTTCTGGAGAAATCCGAAAAAGAAAATACCGAAAAATTAGAAATAGGCATGTATTTAATAGCTCAGTAATTTAAACGAATGATCAATATTTTCTACTCAGTAAATAGTTTTAAAAAGCTTAGTAATTAATTTAAAAAGCTTTAGTATTCAGGGCAGGGTTGCCAGATGTCCCCCCATAAGGGGGACAATCCCACATATAAAGATTTGTCCCCCGCGAAATCTGTCCCCCCGGGTGTCCCCCTTTTCAAAGATTTTCTTCTGATTGTCTTAAATGCACTTTTCACTTCTGTACTACACTTTCATTTCAACAGATCTTTAGCATTTAATGCCTTTTCTTATGTGAAACACAGTCTGCATGAGAGATATATCTGCCTATAGACCTATGCGATAACAGGAAAAGGATAATTTTTTTGTCTTTTTTGTACATGCCTTTCAAGATGCACGTTCCAAATAGAAGTGAAAATAACGCTGTACGCAGTTTTACTATACTGTAAGAAATGAAACAAGAGTCGAATACAACAACATTTGCATCTTTGTACAAAGTTTTTAAGTTCAAATTCTCATTATCTTCCTCGAGCGAAATGTCTTGTTTTTCTGCTTATTTAATTACTTTTAGATAATTAATGTCCGATTTTAAAAATAAATGTTCAGAAAATGTAAATAAAAAGCTTTATCTCAGCGTTTTATCTTGTCCCCCTTTGTAGAAGAAAAAGTCCCTCTTATGTCCGTCTTTTTCCTAGATTTGTCCCCCTTTATTTCTTATTTAGTTGGCATCCCTGATTCAGGGTGTGGGTGGGTGTCTTCCTGTATAGCTTAGCGGCCGCGAAAATTACCCGGAACCACGTTTCCAGCTGCAGTTCCGATTACTACAAATGAGAAAAAAGGGTTTCGGTATCTTTAACGATTCCAAAGTCCTTTAACATCATCTATATTTCCTAATACATTTAATGAATGTGCTATATGTCTATTATTCCTCAATGAATGCTGACAACGTATTTTATAAGAAAGCTGATACTTTTCTAAAGTTGCATTCAAATCATTTTTTCTCATGTAAACATAGCCTATCTGATAAAGTACACAATAATAATCATCATGATTGTCTGACAATATATCCAGTAATTCTTTAAAATAATTCTCTGTTTTTTCTATAAATCCATTTCTTTCAAAAGAAATCGTTCATATAAAACTGTTGGACTATAAAATTTAAAATGTTTTCTTGTTAATTCTAAATATTTTTTGACATAATCTGAATCTTTGTCTGTCGTTTCTAAATATATCTTCCATACGAAATCAACTGAATCAACGTTAACAATTTTAAATATAATTCCAATTAGGAAAAGAAGTTCTTGTTCTCTTCCATCAATAGCAGCATAGACAGGTGATTTATGAGAAACATCGAGTATAATTATAAACATAACTGATTGATTACCATCTTCTTCATGTATCAGCAATGAATTTTTGTGCCACTATCATACAACATGTTGTTGAGAAAAATGTGTTTACTGATACAAATCTACCAATATTCTCTTTTAATATTAAACATTCTATAGTTTGTAATTTTTGTCCACAATATAATTTTAATGTTTCGGTGTCTTTTAACTTTGACCATTTACTTTTATGCTCTAATAGAAAAAAGAGATCATGAATATAAAAGCGAAATTTATACAATAAATCAATATCTTCAGTTCGCAAAACTTCCTCCAAACGTCTATGGACAAAAGAGTCATCTGTGTACCATTTGAGTGCTTTGTTTCATTTGTACGTTGTTCGAAAATTTTGTATTTCATTATTATTAGAAATATTTTTATGTGTATTAAGCATTTCTTCTTTTGCTTTTTCTGTTTCTGGCATTTATCTGCTGTCTGTACCAAAATAGAATGGACTTCGTTGTTTTTCGAATAACTTTCGATAGGAATAAAATAGAGACCCGCCACCTTCATCATCATGTTCCTAAGACCTTAGGACACGTTTTTGTAAGCAGAAACTTGTTTCAAAATTTTCTGAAAGTTCGATTATCTAGCGAATCTTTGGAAAACCAGCTCCGAACGTTACTCTACAAAATTATGCAAGTCCCCGCTCTTCAGCTATCTTCATCCTTATATCTCGGTAAAATCTGATGCTGACTCAAGGATATTTTCAGGAAAGACCTAAATGGCGCCATATATTGTTGATCAAGCCCAAAAAGAAGTCTAACAGAACACTGAGTCCCTGGGATTTTCCAAAAGGTTTCTGGAAAACCTTAAACGAATGCCCAGCTGAAATTTACCTATTCCGTCTTCGATTATGATTTATGAGCTGTCCTGAGCGTTTCCTGAAAGTTTCCTTGAGTCAGCATCAGATTTGACCGAGATATAAGGATTTTAATTTTTGCTCGTAACAGATGAAAAATTGGTTTTTCACAAAAATGTCTTTGACGAAGTTATTTTCACTTCTACACCAAAACAAATGTTGCTACTATGCTCAGCGTAGTCGATTCCCTGTATCCCATGGCATTTCGAGATTCCCAGAGATGTCCGCTCGGGGAAAGCGAGCCCTGTTCGAACGACGATAGCTGAAGAGCTGGGACTTGCATAATTTTGTAGAGTAACGCGCATATTATAGTACGGATAAAAGTAAGTCTTCTCCAAGAAAACTAAGTAGAGAGAGACTGAATACAATATACAAGATGAGAAACCACGCTCACTTATTTTCACCGGAATATACAAGAAAAAACATTAAAAGCAATTTCTCCCTGACGTTAGAGCCGTATTTTTGTCAGCTAATCCAAATTACTACCCACAAGTATTTCAAAAAAGTAGGATTTCTCCCCCTCTAGGGATCCAGGACGAAAACCGTGCTCATTTTTCATTACATATCCAGTTAACATAAGAAGTCTCTAAAACATCGAAAGACTTTATGAAAGCCTCTGAGAAATTCGTCTTCCGTCTTTAATTCACACTCACTTATGCTATGAAATTGGTAGAAACCGAAAAAATGTTCTGAAGGCATCCTGAAGATCGTACAGATATTCGAAACTGGTATTAATAGATTGCAAATAATTGATAACCTAGGCATTATTCAGCTAGTTCATAATTCTTTTATGCTAAAGCTCTAGCAGCTTTGGATACAAACAAACGTATATTATATTAGAAAGAGACCTTACTGCTTTGAATAATACATCAAAAAAATTAATTTATTAAGAGTGTTTTTGGTTCTTGAGCATATTTCTTTATTTTATTTTATATTATTTTGAGATAATAAAAATTAATACTTTTGTCGATGCCATAGCAACGTAAATATATCGATATAGATCTAAACATAAAAATTATTGAAAGCATAGATGATCTCTTAACATACGCTTAAATACAGATAAAGAAGATCGATATGCTAAAACAGAAGGAAGTTCATTCCATTCCTTTGGCATACGTGTAGAAGTCAATAGTTGAAAAACTATTTCAGTTATTGAACTATATTCAACTGTTGAA